ATACTGTAGAAATACAAAAGGATACAAACACTGGTGATACATATTCTGTGTATTTATTCAGACATAAATAAGCAATGAAATGTGTTTTTGTTTTGCTTTAATGTTTGCAATATTTTAAACTCAAAACAGTCTTTTGAATTACAATTGGTTATAAAGAACATTTCATACTGACATATTTAACATTTAAAATTAGATCTTTTTCATTTCACAGGTCCAGATATTTAGAATATGTTGTTTAATAATGATTAAATTAATGGCATTGTGACACAATGCTTAACATTGCTGCCTCGCAGCTCTGAGGTCCTGGGTTCAACTCCTGGAGTGCTACTTGCATGGAGTTTGTACGTTCTTCTCATTTTCATGTGGGTTTCCTCTGTGTCCACTTGTTTCCATACACAGTTTAAAGACATACTAGTAATGATCATGTTTTATTCTTTTGGTAGTCAGTCTTAAAACAGGCTGGCCTGTGTGAAAATTGAAACTGGTGTGAGTGTGCTTGTGTTTGCACCGTGCACGGTATGTCCAGCCTGCCGCCTGTTGCTTGCCGAGATAGGCTCCGACTTTGATGTTGGATATAATGGTTTAGAAAATAGACAGATGGAACATCTGATTGCATATTAATATTAGTGGATCTGATCTATCATTGTCACTCTTTTTTTATTAGAGTGTAAACCAGAATTATACTCTGCTCAGAAATTGCAGTAAAAGCGGATTAAAAAAGGTAATCTGAACTCTTTGGTATCCCAACAGAAATCAAGGCCTGAGTTTGTTCTGAGTTTCTAAATTTTAGGAAACCAATGCAACTATAAATTTTAGAATCTTCCCTAGGCCCTATAAATATCCACTTGTAATATTGTTTACACTGAGGAAGTCAGTAATTATTGACCTATTAGTTTGTTACAGTACATCAGATGTTATTCAGACGGTTAAAAACTGGTTAAAAGACTCCTATCCTTATGAAACATACAGTACTATGTTAAGTAACCCTTTTCTTTCATTGTAGTCCCAGAACAACTAGAGACTCCGAATTCCCTTTGTACAGATTCTCAAGGTGATAAACTCAAATGACATTTTCAATATAACTAGTTCAAGTACAGTAGGTAGCTGTGTCAGCATGCAAAAGCTGCAAAGGAACCAGATGGATAAGATGTATGGGGCTCTTGAGAGTAAGAGCTGAATGATGTCCTGGGCTCTTGAACTTCAAATATGACTTTAAGCTATTGTGCTGGTAAACACTAAACCAGTCACACACAGGTTTAGTTGAGGAGGGGCATATACTGTACAGTACAGACAGGCACATGCACTGAGGCACAGAGAAAAAATAAACTAGAAAGACCTATTCTTTTTTTACACAGAAAGCCAATGCATACAAATGAAAATCTAAGGTGTGGATGTTTGGGTTAAAAGCAGTTTTAAGTGAGATGTACAGAAGTGGTTAAAAAGATACACCGTATTATCTTAAAGAAACAAGGTGTGGAGCTTCTTAGAGCTGTGCACTCAAAGGAACAGTGAGGGAGCGGAGACCCTCTGGTGCTATGTGACATCCAGGCAGACACTCACAGAGAGACAAGCTGACAGACAAGAGAGCATGAAACAATAATTCTAAAGCTAAACAAAGATTAAATGTTTTAAGACTTATTTATGTATACAAAAATAGTTTAATGTATGGAGAAAAGGCCTGAGCAGAAAAGAGAAATGTGATAATGATTTCAAGCAGTGACAAGGATGATGAAATAGTTTTCACAACAGCAAAAACACAGTTTCAAGAAAAACAGTCCCTATGACCCAAATAATGATTTTAACCATGAAAAGAAAGCGGATGTATCTTTGATGCCTCTCTCCTTATTCACGCATTATTTCTTACAACACAGGTAAATCCCTGTGGGCTGGAGCCCAGCATAATCTTAGGTTTTTTTTACAAGATAGGTCAACAACTGGGTAATAACTCTTAGAAAAATCTACACATTGACCCCCTGTCTCAGCTGTGCCGTTTTGCAGAACAATTCTAGCTGAAGTTGTAAAATTTCTATTTGTTCCGTTTCTGCAAAACGTCTTAGTATGAACAAACAAACCACAATAATAATTTGAATCTAGGAGAATCACTCCCAAGGGTAACCTCCCTACAGCAGGTTTGGGGCTTAATTCGTGTCCCGCCATCATCTTCTTCTGGGCCTCTACTCCGGGCCTGTGATGTTCCCAGTGGCACGGGACTGGTGTCAGGGAACAGTTTAGGGTGCTATTATTTGCAGTTTCATCTACCCCTGGCGTTCCTTCAGTCTGATGTTTAGTCGATCTTTCTGAGTTCTGTTCCTTCGTTCCACTGTTCCAGTAGTGTGAGGGTGATGGTGCAATGAAGGTCCCATCTCACCCCGAACAACGCATCCACAGCCTGACACACCTTCTCTGTGAAGTGTGTCCCTTGATCATAATACAAGAGGTAGGGCAGTGCCCACCGAGAGCTTATCTCTGTCATCAAGTGTTAGTGGTAGACACAGAGGCAGTGGCAGCAACCCACTGGAAAACATTATAAGAGCCCAGGTTTTCCCTTTACAATTGTCAATTTGCCAGTGCATGAAAGGTTCCTCAGGAGCTGGCCTTTTGAGCTGTTACACCCGCACCTGAACTGTAGTTGAGTTCCTTGATAAGCATCACATCGAGATACCAAATAAGTGGCTACTGCTTCAGACCCGGCTTTGTGTCTCATCCCATTCTGTTTTCTCTGTGATATTCTGTTGAATTCTCAAATATTAATCTAATATTAATCTGTTTATTTTTATCCCAATGTTCATACACTTTTCTACATTCCTGTTCAGACTAAATTCCATCTATCCATATTTCTATTAAAGTTTCACTTTGCATTAATCTAATTTCTTTTTTTTTTCTGACACCCAGTCAGACACCTCTCAGAGTAAAAAGGCT